ACCTTAGGGTTGCTGGCCTCTTGTTTTCCCAGCCTGTCTTCTGTGGGAGGGGCCTGCCACACTGTTACTCAGGCAACCCTGTTTGGACGGAGTTGCCCTGCCCCACTGTGGTGGGGGATGGGCTCAGCGAGAATCAGTTTTTGGGGCTTTTGTTCTCTGGTGGCTTTCCCTGGCTGCTTTCCTTGTCTCTTCTGCAAGTCAGAGCAGAAGAGACCATTTCCAGTCCTCTGCCTCAGAGTAGAGAGACCACAGTCTGTTGTTCAGTGAGCTCTCCAGGCCACACTGTCTCTGTTTCTGTCCATGCTGCTATAAACTGCAGCGTCCTGGTTTTTGCGCCCCTCTGCAGCGCTCCCAGTCCTGCCTCCAGGTCGGGGCACGTCTCTGCCCTTTGTGCTTCTAAAACCGCCAGCTGCTCCCAGTTCACCCACAACCCCACCGCTCCGGGTTTCCGCCCCGGGGGCTCCCCAAAGTCCTTTCCCCGCTGCTACTGGTCTGCAACTCTGTGCCCTGTCCCCAGAGAGCGAGGCTGTCGCTCACAGGCAGTATAGGATCTGCATGACCAGGCACCCTCCCACTGTCGTTTATCCTTCGATATTTGCCCGCAGAATCAGGGCTCCCTGCTTCGTACCTCAAGGCCAACTGCCTGCAAAATTCTGCTTGTAGAGATCCAGATCTTACATCTTAGGCTGGTTTCATGGGTGCTCATGGTGGTCTGGTAGATATCCAGCTCAATTCCAGGAACCAGTTGAAATAGTGTCCCCTACTCCTCCACCATCTTTCCTTCTCCCTAGCTAGGATTTTCGTGGGTATTTTGGAATCCATATTCATCAGGGGTATTGCCCTGAAATTCTCCTTTTTGATGGGGTCTTTGCTTGGTTTGGGGATTAAGGTAATGTTGGCCTCATAGAATGAGTCCAGGAGCTTTCCTTCTGTTTTTATTTTTTCAAACAGCTTCAGAAGAATAGGTATTATTTCTTCTTTGAATGTTTGGTAGAATTCCCCAGGGAATCCATCAGGCCCTGGACTCTGGTTTCTGGGAAGATTTTTGATCACTGCTTCAGTCTCATTACTGGTTATTGGCCTATTCAGGTTCTGTTTCTTCCTGTTTCAGTCTTGAAGGCATCCATTTTTTCCAGGTTGCTCAATTTATTGGCATATAGTTGTTGATAATAATTTATGATAATTGTTTCTATTTCCTTGGTGTTAGTCGTGATCTCTCCCCTTTCATTCATAATTTTATTAATTTGGGTCCTTTCTCTTTTCTTTTGGATAAATCTAGCCAGTGGTTTATCTATCTTATTAATTCTTTCAAAGAACCAGCTTCTAGTTTCATTGATCTGCTGTACTGTGTTTCTGGCTTCTAATTCATTGATCTCTGCTCTAATCTTAATTATTTCTCTTCTAATGCATGGCTTAGGCATCATTTGTTGCTTTTTCTCCAGTTCTTTAAGGTGTAGAGTTAGTTGGTGAATTCGGGATTTTTCTATTTTTTTGAGTGAGGCTTGGATGGCTATGTATTTCCCCCTTAGGACCTCCTTTGCAGGATCCCTGAGGTTTTGGACCAATGTGTTTTCATTCTCATTGATTTCCATGAATTGTTTAAGTTCTTCTTTGATTTCCTGGTTGACCCAAACATTCTTGAGAAGAGTGGCTGTTAGCTCCCAAGTGTTTGAATTTCTTCCAAATTTTTTCTTGTGATTGAGTTTCAGTTTTAAAGCATTGTGGTCTGAGAATATGCAGGGAATAATCTCAATCTTTTGGTATCAATTGAGACCTGATCTGTGACCAAGTATGTGGTCTATTCTGGAGAACGTTCCATGTGTGCTCGAAAAGAATGAGTATTCTGTTGTTTTAGGGTGGAAGGTTCTGTATATATCTATGAGGTCCATCTGGTCGAGTGTATCATTCAAAGCTCTTGTTTCTTTGTTGATTTGCTGCTTAGATTCACTGTTTATTGCTGAGAGTGGAGTATTGAGGTCTCCTACAATTAACATATTGTTATCAATAGGACTCTTTATTTTGGTTAACAGTTGGCTTATGTAGATGGCTACTCCCATGCTGGGAGCATAGATATTTACAGTTGTTAGATCTTCTTGTTGGATAGACCCTTTAAGAATGATATAGTGTCCTTCTGTGTCTCTTATTACAGACTTTAATTTAAAATCTAATTTGTCTGATATAAGAATTGCTACCCCAGCTTTCTTTTGAGGTCC